TATTAACGGTGACTTTGATGCTTCTCTGCCAAATGGAAGCCTGTCACCTGTGTGTCTGCGTTAATTAAGCCCTTGTCGTGCAGCGGTCAGTACATACCATGGCTGACGAATCATATGGATCTCTATATATACTAGCAGGCTTTCTTGCTTAGTTCTATCGACGACGGCTGCTTACTAGGAGTAGACTCTAGCATAGTTTGTCTGTCTGATGAGGGCTGCAGCTGCACCTCCTTATGCTCCAGGTAGTTTAATCGTTGGATTAAGAGCATGCAGCTAGCTAACAGATTATTAAACTTTGAAATATTGCAGATAACATTTGCATTTTCTCTGATTGTTTATTTGTTTCCTAGCACTCGGATATAGTTACATGCTTGTCTTAGGCTGACTAAAATAAAACTAAGGAAAATTCTTCAGTGTGGCCATCTAGTTTTTGTGTGGTTCACGAAAACTCTACACTTGTTGATTGTTTGCATGCTGTAAACAGAGCAACTGTAAATCTATATGCTTCTTCTGTAGCATATCCTGAACTCTACGTAACACTACATCATGTTGCTTTAGCTTGCCATCTGACCCAAGGTGGAAACCTCAGCAATGTTGGTTGGACCACAAGTCTGCAATTAAATCTTAAAGTTTTCCTAGTTTGCGTTGGTACTACTATACTATCTATTCAAGTAGAACCCGTCTGTAGCTGTTGTATTCAGACGGTGAGCTCTTGGTGGCATCTTGCAAATGTGTGTGTGATTACTTGCAACTGTTGGGCAACTGACCACAAGTAGCAGTTGCATTTCTGAACTGCTATAGGAATTAGTAAACGTTAAGACATGCTCCAGCGTTTTCAAGACATGTGAATGGTTATATTTCCAACGGCAAAGGCACCCGTCGTTCCCTTACCATATCCACCCTATGTATATAGGAACAGTCCCAGGCTACTTAAAAAAATGACGCTCGAACTGATCTTTGTATATCATATCGCAGCTTCAAGTACAAGTAGCCTACTATGGCTGTGTAATGGCACCGACTATGTACCAGCTGTTTACTTAACCACTCTCCGTTCATTCTTCAAAGAACTACATACATATGTTCGGATGTGGACTACTAAGTACCATGTTCAAACTGGTATTCTTGTGTTTTTTTCATACATCCAGCATATTTCCAGGCTACTTAAAAAAACAAACTCTAAGATGTTTGTTGGGCCACAACATAGCAATACTGATTAAAGTGTAATTCCATTTGACAATCGATATAATACTGTAAGTAGGATTCAAAGGTTTCATGCACAAGTAGTCTAAATACACATCTGACAATATAAGTTTATTTTTTTCGCCACTGGGGCGACACCACCAGCAGTTCAGCAACTATAGATTGATGGGCAGCGGCGGCGTACCTCGTCGACCGGGAGCGGATCGGCGCGCTAGCTCTCGGTCTTGGTGTGGGCAGGCGCGCGGCGGCTCTCTTGGCCTTGGCCACGGGGTGCTTCGGCGGCACACTGCTCCTCGCTCAGGACTTGCTCCGGCCGCGCAGCTTCCCAAGTCTGGTTGTGCTGTGTGCGGGACGTTGGGGCGCGCAGTGAGGGACGCCGGGGGAGCCCAGTGAGGGACGCCAGGGGCGGGCAGTGCGGGACGCCGAGGGCGGGCGCCGGGGCGGCCGGGCGCAGCTACAGGAGGCCGCCAGCGGTGGTGGCTGGGGTGGAAGAGGGGGGCCGGCGTGGGGCGCGGGGTGGCCGCCGGTGGGAGCTGAGGTCGGGGGAGGGGCGGCCAAGCGCGGGGCGGCACGTAGGCGGGGCGGCCAGTGGCGTGGTGGGCGGGCAGCGAGGTGAGCGGCGGCGTGGTGGGCGGGCCACAAGTTTCGATGTCTGGGTTTTATGCATCTGACATGTCTGGGTTGCTCGAAACATTCTCAATTTTTTACCACAACCTACACATGCGATAACATGACACCTCGACAAGTTTCGTGATTTTCGGACTTCGTATGGACTTTATATAATTTTAAAACACTTTTTCGGTAAGTGCCTCGTCATGTTACGTGAAGAAGATGCGCGAAATTTGATGCGAGTTTGTGGATAGAGACTCAACATACACCAAATACCATGAATAACATTTTTCGAAGCACTAGATTACAATATTCCATGCACTTGCAGTTCAAATTTGAATTATATATAAAAATTCAACATAATCAAATTAATCAACCAAATATAACAAAAAAAACTAGAAAAAGCACCAAATTTGAACATGAAGTTGTAAACAATGTAGGCGGGCCCAACAAAAAATTTGGGGTCAAAAAAACAAAAAAAACTAAAAATTTGTCAAGTGCCATCTTGGCACTCGGCAAAGACTGTCTTTACCGAATGCTGGGCTAGGGGCACTCGGCAAAGAATTTTTTTTAAAAAAAAATTTAAAAACGGTTAAAAAGTCTTTGCCGAGGGCCTAACGGTAATGCCCTCGGCAAAGATTGACGGCTGGGGATGGAAGTCGTGTCAGGTGGTGTTGTCGAGGGCCGGCCCCTCGGCAAAGAATTATTGTTGCCGTGTGCTTGTCTTTGCCGAGGGTCTGACCCTCGGCAAAGAGTCTTTGCCGAGTGCCCGATCATTTGCCCTCGGCAAATACTCAGGCCCTCGGCAAAGATACTCTGTCCGGTAGTGTAGCAACGAGCAAAAGGAAAGAGAATTAACACAGAAGGAAAAAAATTTAAGACAAAAGGAACCTCTTTGTATTTCTGAGAACCTTGCCAAATTTGCCTACATTTAATTACTTTCCCTCTTTGCATTTGCAAAAGGGACAGCTTTTTCCTCCTTTCATTTGGTTTCACGCTCACGTGTTCCATCGCCCTCGCTTGTTGTTTCTTGCGTGAACCATAGTTGATGTCATCTGTCTTCCATGGCTCCGCCTCCCAATCCCAAGAGAAGGTCCCTACCTCTCTCTGACTGGAGATCCGGCCTGCCAGAGGATCTCCTCGAGTCCATCGGGCAGTGTCTCGCGTCAGGCCACGACGCGGCGTCCTTCCGATCCGCTTGCTCCCCATGGCGTGCCGCCGTCCCGTTCGCGACCTTCGGGCCGCTCCTGCTGCTCCTGTTCGACCCCGACTCGAACCGCGTCGGCTTCTACTGCGTCCCGGAGAAGAAAGTCTTGTCCAAGACGCTGCCTGACGTGCACGGCAAGGTGGCGTGCGGCTCCTCGTGTGGGTGGCTGACGCTCATGGACGAGGCGGTGTCCGTGACGCTGTTGAATCCATTCGCCGGTGCCGTGTTCCCGCGTTGAGCTCCCGCCAACAGGCGAACACATCGCGGCGGCGTCCTCATCGAAACGCGTGTCTAGGGTCCACGGGCGGTGGGTCCTCCATCCCACCAACGGCTACGGGGACGCGGATGCCGCAGGCAGAGCATCAAGCTAGAAGACATGAGGGACATGTTCTTCCGTGAGATCGTGCTCTCAGCGCCGCCTAACGCCGCCGGCCGTGAGTGCGTGGCTATGGCCATGCTTGGGTGCTCCATGGAGGTCGCGTTCTGCCGGGTTGGAGTCGACAGCGCATGGACGCTGCTCGACACCAAACCGGAGTTCTCCGTGGGGTCCATCGTCCACTGCCAAGACAAGTTCTTGGCGATCGACTGCAGTGGAGAAATCTCCGTCTGTAGTAGAAATGCCGCCGGCGCTACTCCAACCGCGACGCTGCTGCCATTGCTGTCGCCACCTACGGGGCTCTGCCACCGCAGCTACCTGGAATCAAACGGTGAGCTGCACATTGTGGGTGCCATGGTGAGCACGTTCCACGAGACACAAAGCTTCACCTACGACAGCGCGATCTACAAGTGCAGCCTCCACGACCGTACGCCGGGGTGGTCCAGGGTGAGGGACATCGATGACCAGACACTATTCGTGTCTAAACATTTCAATAAAAACTTTAGTGGAACAAGTGTATCCAAGTACAAAGAGAACAAAATCTACATGTCTGAGCCATTGTATGGGGATCCATACGACTTGGTCCATCGACTGGATATTATTGATATTGCTACCGGCGCATCCGAAGTGAAGTCCGTCCAGGAAAAGATGCAGGGTTCCGAGGCTCTAGGTTGGATTCGACCCAATCTCTGGAAGCTCTAGAGTTTGTGAGCCTACGACGCCGCGCACTCCGTGATTGTGTTAAATTCATAAACTTTGCTTTTTGGATTAAATGACACGTTAACGTTAATATTTAATTTAACAATATTGTTATCTTATCGTGCGATCCGTGTGTTTTTAGTATAAATTGTTAGTTATCCCATAGCAACGCGTGGGCACGCTACCTAGTCGATATCAAAATGTTAAAATTCCATTTTGTGAAAGTACAGGATACTGACTGCAAAAGGACTTAATTCCACGTGGGACTGGCTCGGTAGCTTACAATGACTTATATTCGTATTGTAATATATTTCTTCTCTCAAAATGAAAACATGATACGGCACGGTCGATGGAAATAAAATGGTATGTCTGAAACCTTGACAAACAAGTAGACAATCTAGATATAGATCGAGGCGACTTTGGAAAAAAAAACATGCGCAAAATCACTGACATGCATGTGTTAAACACAATATATATTACTACTTGAACAAATAGCATATATTACCACGATTATCAGAGCAGCATGAATACACAGCCAGCACAGATTACTGTTTGCACAGGCCACAGGATTACACACGTCCGATAGTCCAGAGCCATACTACTCACACACGAACAATTACGCTAGCAGAGTACGTAGCAGTCCCTGCTTAATTGGCTGCAGGTTAGGTTTAATCATCAGCATATGTAATTAACTAGGTTTTCTGGCAGAGATTGGGATATAGCACGTACACCTCCGGCCGGGCCGGTGCACATACAAGCACACTACCACTACAGGAGGTACATGATTCAGTTAGCACGTAGTCCTGGTACGCAACACAGGGTAGACTGACCGACACATATTTATCGGTAATAATGCTAGCATATCCTGCTGCATGACAGAAGAGAGAGAGCATGCTTAGATAGATAGGTTTATCTGATCTGGAAGTGGTTCCCGGCCGGGCCGTTCTGGTCGGCGTGTTGGCGGAATCCATTGCCGCCGCCGCCGCCGCCGCCGTGCGCGTCGTGCGAGCTCTTCCGGCGCCGCTCGTTGTGCCCCGCCAGACGCAGGCGGCAGCTGCGCTTGATGTCGTCGAACTCCGACAGCTCGTGGAACCTGGAAACGTCACACACGGGGTCAGCAGTGAGCTTCTTATATCTGTTATTAGTCTGTTGCTACTTCATAGTAGATTACAGCCAAATAAATAATCGAAGGACACCACAAATTAACAAAACCGGAAGCAGCATACGACGTGAAATCCACAGCATCTGGAGCAGTATTTTTACGTTCCAAATGCACGCACGTACTGCCGTCAAATCGAAGGGACACGGGGACACGATCACGGGGTGAGAATGAGAATGCGGCGAGGGCATGGCATCGACAGCCGGAATCTGGTGCTATGCGTGTGTCTGGGTGTGTGTGCGCCACATGTGCGTGCGCGCAAAAGCGGCGACAACAAAAGAGGCTGTATTTTGAGCACTATGGATCCATCCCAGCCAAGGTCCACGGCCCTGTCCATGCATATCACATCAAGCATAAAAAGGATCCAAAAGCAGCGTTGAAATTTCCAAGCAGTTCGATCAAACAATAAATGTCTTAGCATTCAGCACGTACTAGGTTAATTTGGATAAAGAGCACCTGAAGATCAGAACACGACAACACAGCTTGTCTTGTCTGCTGCCTCTTCAGTAGTTCAGTTATCGACTGTCTTTGCCAAAATGAGAATTTACAAGACTGCAAGACTGCACTCGATGATACTGCCTCCCTAAAAGAATACAATTCTAGGACAGTGTCACGTTTTAGTACCTTAAGTTTGATCAATTATAAATAAAAAAATATTCATGTTTATGATAATAAATAAATACCATCATATTAATTACGAAACATATTTTTATAATAAATTAATTTAAAGACATAACTGTGAATATTATTCATTAAAACTTTGTCAAACGTGAACTACTCTTCGTGGCCCGCAATTCATAGTTGCATTCTTTTTAGGACGGAGGTAGTATATATACTTGGAAATGTAAGTTAGGTGTTTGTTTGGTAGAACTTGTCAATAACTTTTTACGTCTTAACATTAGGAACGCTTGTTCCAACTTTAACTGTTATTTGGATGCTGCTATATACAAGGTGTGACAAGATTCTCCTTCTCTCGGTAAATTAGGTTCTACGTGCCACTCACTAAAACTAAAAAAAAGTATGGTAAGATTCTCTTAGACTTTCTAGTGTGAGATTTTGAACACCTTAGACTTTCTTTGATGCATGAAATCTTACTCGTGATGGAACTCTACTATATATGTACAAAGCATAAGTTTATTCATAGCAAAGCACTCACCACTGTCTGTCACCAGAAACTGATTAATTAGGTTTATTAATTAGGAGAATCATGAAGAACTGTGAAGATGATGAAACGTACACTAGCTCTAATCAATCTAAGGGCCACAAATAGTTTTGTTTGCTCCACTTAATTAATTTAAAAACCTCCTATATTATCACTTGTGAGAGCTACTCCGTAGCCATTATGAAACGACTAGTCCAGTATAGTGTAAACGCCATATATGCATATGTCCTTCAGCCTGTTCGGTTGGCTGGTTCGTATCGTTGCTGGTTCGTTTATGTGAGAGAAAAGTACTACTCCCTGGTTCATGTGAATAGTATCCATGTGAGGGGGCTGGCCAGCCAGCCCAGCCAGCCCGCCCCAGCCGATCGGGCTGCTTGTCAGTGGCTCAACAGCACTAGGACAGCATGAACAGTACTAGCACTGCGAGCAGGGACCAACAAGAACTTGTCATCACGCACATTAACATCAGGCTAGCTACCAAGCCAGCCGGACGACGCGCTGCTAATGGATCATGCGGTGCACATGGAGATAGATTGGAGACTTGAGAAAAGTCGCAGCAAAAGATGCTGAAAGCCACAGGATCGATCGAGGAGAACCAGATCAGCAGTGAAATGACGGCTGGAATCTGATTTGGGGGAAGTCCCAGCATGGCATTGTCCTCCAAATGCTGCAAAGTGCTTGCAACTTGAAGTTCGTTTATTCTGAGTCAGAAACATGGAGCAAGTGCATTGGCCAGCAAGCATAAAGCATCAATCAGGGACAGAGACCAAAAACTTAAACTCATCTATCTAAGATAAGTAAGACAACTAATACATGCCTAATCATTGCTGCTGCTACTACTACTGATCATCAGTCAGGGCAAAAGGCTAAGAGGAAGGCCGGGGCCCAGGGCCCAACGGAGAGCACAACACAACCCACTGCCCTTTCAAAGCCGAAGCAGGCGGGCAGGGGAAAGGACAATGATGTCCACCACCACCGCCATGTTAGTAGTAGGAGTACATGTCAAGGGCCGAAATACGAATGTTGGGTGCTTTGGCGGTGGTGCACCAGCAAAGCAAGAATAATAATCTGCTGAGGCAGCCAAAAGCATGAAAACCTAGTCCGTCCTCTAATCCTGCTTCTTTTCTTCTTCTTTTTTTAGCTATACTCCCCCATCTCTTTTTAATTGTAGTCTAAATTTTCATCCATGTCAAGCTTTCTTAAATTTGACTAGTTTTATAGAAAATATTAGTAACATTTAGACTTCAAATAAGTGTATTATAAAAATGTATTCAATGATTAATATAATAATACTTATTACACTTACGCACCATAAATAAATAGTAATAATCTCTTATATATTTAGTCAAAGTTGAATATACGTTTGACTCCTAACAACAACACTTGAAAATAGACCGAGGGAGTACACAATACACATGGTTTGGTTAATGGTTACTGGTACTAGTACTACTAATGAACATCGTCCTAGAACAGTAACAGTAACCTCCACTGATCCATTTTTGAGTGCGTCAGGGGTGTGTGACGTACGGATCATCTTATCTAGGTTAGGCTCACATGATTAGCGTCCTATTAGCTTGGCGTACTTTTTCAGCCAATGAACAATATTTTTCTCTCATAATAAATCAGCCAACCTGATCCCGTTCACTTCGCTGAAAAACCAACCGAAACACTGTTTCGATTGATTTGTTACAAGAGAAAAGCACTGTTCCAGCTGAAAAAATAAACTAAAAAATACAAATTATATAAAAAAAACAGAACAGAGCCGGTACTTTCTCCCGTGGCTTATCAGCCAAGGGCGTAGACCGTAGCGCGACAGTGGCTCTGCTGCAGTCACCAAAAGAGGAACTGATATATCCATACATATATCCAGATTTTTCCGGATGCAATGTGACGCTGCAGGAGTATGTGATGAAGAGCACGCTACACACATAACATACGAGTACATACTATGCCCTAATGGCTAATACTGGTATCCTGTTTATTTAAACTTGTTTTATATTTCGCCACGGCTCAACTTCGATCCAAGAGCTTGCATGAGAGAGGCTGCAAGATCTTTAGCTCGTGTTTAGTTAAAAAAACTTCCCAAAAAATGCTACAGCAGCCATCACATCGAATCTTACGATACATAGAATATTAAATATAGATGAAAAAAAACTAATTACACAATTTAGTTAAAAATTGCGAGATGAACGTTTTAAACCTAATTAGCCCATAATTAAACATTAATTATCAAATAAAAACGAAAGTGCTACCTTAGCAAAATTCCAACTTTCCCACTACTAAACACGCCCTTAGCTGAAAAACCGAGCTAATACAAATCTTACAGGCTCATCATGCTATCCATGATCCAAGAAAAGGCTGTAATAACTAATAGGCTTTTGAAGATCCATGGACTTCAGGCACTATAGTTTTTTTTTTCTCTGACTAATAAAAAAATGAACTAAAGTTCAGTAGTACGAACTGAAAGTGGCTCGGCGAGTTTCGGGCGGGAGTGGGGCTTACCGGCTGCATTGCTGGCAGAAGCGCTGGCGGAGGCCGGCGACGAGCACGACGGGGGCCTTGGAGTGCGCCTCGCACACCTTGTGCCTCCGGTTGTACGGCTTCTCGTCGGTCATCAGGTTGGCGTTGCACCGCTCCGCCTGGCACCTCGGCCCGCCGCCGCCGCCGCCTCCTCCTCCTGCCGCGACAGACGCCGCCGCCGCCGCGCCCCTCCTCTCCGCCACCGGAACCGGGGAGGAGCTGGATGAGGCGCCGCCGCCCGCGGCCACGGCCCTCCTCGCCGCCACCGGGGAGGAGCTCGAGGCGTCTCCCACGGCTGCCATCTTCGCAGGCAGGTTGCCCTCCTCGGCCGCCCCGGTGTCCAAGCTGCTGTCGCCGGCCGCCGCGGCGGCAGCGAGCGCGGCCATGGACGCCGCTGCCGAGCTCGCGGAGCCCTTGGAGGACTTGCTCTTGCGGTCCATGGCGGCGCCGGCGAGGGAGGAGACAGGCCTGGGAGATCGAGGTGCGGCCCGAGAGCTGCCGAGGTGAAGCTGGAGCTCTGGTGCCGTGGCTCTCATGTGAGTGGAAGACGAAGAAGTAGGAGGGGTGGAAAAGGGTTGAAAGGGATATAAAGCCGGGTGCCGTGTGTGTGTGGAGGCAAGGCGCACATGTGGGCCCCTGTACCACAGCGGGTACGTGTACGTACATGTATGCATACGCTTGTGCATGTACATGCCTTGCCAGCGTGCGTATGCCGTATGCGTATGTCTATACACGGCCATTCATACAACAGTCTCCCTGTCAAAGAAGTGAAAGTCAGTCAGGTGGACCCTAGGATAATAGTACGGTAGATCTAGGAAGATCATGCGAATGTAGAGATAGAAGCCTAGCTATGGACTTTATAGATAACTTTGTATCTATGCTAACTTAGGGATCCTAATGGTTTTATTTGTCCATACATGTTTGTACTAAGGGCTCATGTTAAAAATTTTATACTAAGGGATCCGAATGGACAAAAAAAAATTTGGTGGACTTGTATGTGTGCAACAAATAAGGTCATGTTAAAAAGATATCGGCCCTGCTTTGGTTTGGCAAGCAGAATTTTACCGAAAAAACACACTGCTCCTACCGAATTGTTGTGAGAAAAAAACTGCTTTACAAATTTTGAAAAAAAAGCTAAAAAAAATATGAGGTAAACAAGCCGAATATTGGATGATCTGGTATAAACACTAGAGTTTTAGCGCTCATCAGAGCACTTTTCTAAAGGATGATGGTAAAGAGAAGACCCAAGTTGGACAATGCAATAGATAAGGAACGGTTCCTAGCGATGGTTAGTTGATGACATTGCAGGAGAAGAATGCATGATTTGTTGCCATGATTGAAGTGGGGCAGAAATGGATTGTAAGTTGGTCCAATGGCTAGTTCCTAAGAAATGTACTCATTGAATGTTCTAGTGTTGTGTGTTGCGCATCAATCATCCTGTTAGTTAAAAAATCAAACATTGGGCAACAACTAATTTTGGTTAACGAAGCTATTTCTACCCCTTCCATGGGTTCATTTGATACAACGCCTAAGATTGTTGGAGACCAGGAGCCACCACACTTTAGAAGACAAAATCCACTAAAATTTTACAATTTCATCTGAGCTCCTAGCACATGCTTAGTGAGTAGTTAGTGCTTGATAAGGACTAGCTAGGGATAGTGATTGTGACATGTGGACGCCATGTTGTTTGTTCAAGGAGGAGCACACTTGTACTTCTTGTTCATCGGCACCATGGCGACTTGAGGGACTTGTTGGTCCTCCTACTTGATGTAGAGCGACAATAAGGCATTGTGTGGATCCAAGGAAAACCTTGTGTGGCTCAAGCTCTCTAGTGAAGATGGTGTCAAGTGTCCAAAAGAGAAGGCAAAAGGTGAGGCTTGCCTCCATGGCGAGTGGCTCACTCATTTGGTGGAGCCTTTGTGAAAGCCCTAGTTTGGTTTTGGATAATTGATGAAACCTATGTCATTAAGTGTGAATATGAGCTAGGTTGGTACATCCAAGCAATGGAGCTAGATGATGTTGATCAAGGTGGTGATGATGACCAAAAGAGATGATCATGTGCTCCAACTTGGAAAAGAAAAAAGAGAAAAACAAAAACCAAGTGTTGATCAAGGCAAATGTATCAAATAGGTTTTTGTTTTGGCACTCAAGACACCATAGAGGGTGTGAGTGTGTTTATGATAGATAGCCATACTATGAAGAGGGGAGAAATCATAGTTGATGTAGTTATCAAGTGCCATTAGGTTATCTAACTCGATTGCATGTGAATTGGATCCTAATGAGCTAACAACCCCTTGGGAATTAACTTGGGTTGTTGCTAACTCACGTACACATGAGTTGGAATACTTGGAGTTGGCACACATGCACAAGGGTGAAGTGTTTGGAGTTGAAAAAGAGAAGAGAAGTGGGACCGGACTCTGAGTCGTGTAGGATCGGACCCAGGCTAGATGAGTCCGATCACTGACTTAGGGGCTCAGCCAGATTCGCTGGTCAGACCAGACCCTAGTCACGAGTGCGACCGGACCCTGCTGGCTGGGTTCGGTTGGTTGCCATTGGTGGCGCTTGGACGCATGGCAGTCTATGGAGCATCGGACTCTGTCAAGTAGGACCGGACTTGGTCCAAGGTCACTTGGACCTCTCGGTGTAATTTTGGAGCGCACCGGATTCTGGCCTCCGTCGGGTCCAGTCGTCTATTAAGCGCTGGTCCGGTCATGGTTGTGTTGGGCATGAGCGCTTGAGCTTCTGAGGACCAGACTCATGTGCAGGTACGGTCGCTTTGATCGGACTGAGTCCGGTCGATTTCGAGAACTCTGGGAGCTCTCTAGAAATGACCGGACTCTGGGTCACCCTAGGTTCGGTCAGTGGAGAGGCGTGTCTGGTCGTTGATCTGTGCACGTGCGTGTGAGTGCCAATGGTCCAATTCAAATTGGAGGCAACGTGGCGCACTCTGGTTGGCTGGTTGAAGGATTGGACTCACTAGGACATGACTCTGGCAGGGTCCGATCGCTGGGTCCGGTCACCCCCAAGCTGTGTAACTGTTCAATTTTAGAGGGGGTCTATAAATAGACCATGATCGACCTTGGGGTGTCTCTCTTGGCCATTTGACATTCTTGACATCCCTTTGAGCTGAGAAACACCGCTCTCACTCATCTTTCCTTATTGTTGTTCATCCAAGTGAGTTGGGAAAGCATCCAAGTGCATTTGCATTGCGTTGGCGCATCTAGTGGCACTTGTGGTTGCATCGGCTGCGGGTTCTCTTCTTACTCTTGGTGGTTGTCATCACCTAGACGGCTTGGATTAGAGGAGGAGCATTGGCATGAGTTGGTGATTGTTCATGGCCATCTCCCGGTGATTTGTGAGGGGTCTTGTACCTTCCCCGGCGAAGAGCCAAAAGGTAACTTCAGTAAATTGCTCGTGTCATTGAGTTACCTCACTTGTGGATAGGTTCTTGCGGCGCCCAAGTGTTGGGTTAGGTTTGTGAAACACCTATTAGCCACCGAGCCAACAAGTGTTGGTCGACACAATGGGGACTAGCGTGCCGGCAAGCACGTGAACCTCGGGAGAAAAATTATGTGTCTCATTGTCTCCATTGGTATTCTCCCTGAGTTCTTTGGTATTCATATTGATTGATTGAGCGCTTGCCTCGGACGGTATAATCACCCTACCTCTTTCCCTTGTATTATCTTGTCTCTTACTTGTTGTAGCTTGAGTAGAGGTAGCTAGTTGAGTAGATCAGTTAGTCTCTTGTTAGTTAGTAGCTATAGCTCAACTAGAGTAAGAGTAGTGACATAGTTTTTTTGTGTGTTTAGAGATTGTAAAGAACTAGAATTGTGGTATAGGTAGCTTGCAACCTTTGTAGAGCTAGAGCAAAATTGCATTTCATCATTTAGGTTACTAACCCTTTGTTCTAGTGTATTTTAGAGAATTTTTATAGGCTATTCACCTCCCCTCTAGCCATTTAGGACCTTTTCACTTCGTAACGTATTCCAAGGCCTTGAGTTAGAGATGCTTGGTTGCCAGTAGCGTATCATTGGTTGAGATCCAATGTGAACTAGAGGTGGAAATTTACAAACTAATACAATGGTATAAATCTTTGTGCCGAGTTTGGGCCCTTTTTGTTTATGTTGGATAAAATGACAATTTTAAATGGCCACCCATATTCCTCTAGGTCACTTGGTCAGAATTGTTATATGATGGTAGTGCTTCACTACAACAATTCATGCATGTAGTTAATTATTTTATTAGAGTGTGTCATGCTGGGCTTTCTCAATTTCTAGATGAATACATGGTTAGAGAATTTTTACAATGGTTGATATGCTATCCTTTTTGTTCCTGTTAGGACTTGGGAGAGATGTTTCTAACATCGTGAGAGACAACGTTCCTAGTTGCACATTGGGCCAAAACTAGATCCGGATTTAGCTTACCGTTCTTTTATAGTTATTTATCTATATGTTCACAAGAATATATTTGTTGGGTTCATAAACCCGGGGTCCCTCATGGACCGGCTTCCCATCAAAGGTTTGGCCCAGCAGACAACATTGTGAATGACGCGCAACTCCTGGCCCAGCCCAAATACCTAAACGACTGGCCAAAAGGGCAATCCAATCTCCGACCGGAAGGCCTCGCTAAGGCGGAACAAACGCTCGCTTCTGACTCTGGCCCGCCTCTCCGACCGGAAGGCCTGGCCAAAGAGAACAACTTTCGCTTTTGACTCTGGCCCGCCTCTCCCACCAGAAGGCCTGGCCAAATACCACTTCCCACTCTGACCCGCGTCTCCGACCGGGGATACACCGAACCTCTGCTTATAGCTCATCTCCAACTAGCATAGTCGGAACCGACTGGGACCAACCGATCGGGGACGCCCGCTCGATAAGGACCAGGAAACAGGCGGAGCAAGTAAAGCAGGATGCTCAAAGTCAACAGCAATACCGAGGACCGTACCCTATACACCTATAGGATAGTACCCTGCAACCTTCCTGGCATATCAGAACCCAAGCAGTGTTGTGGGCGCCGACATTTTTTCTACAGTGTTTTGGGCGCCATCGACTCCCATACCATGCAAACACGGTAAGGCTCCCCTCACATGCCTTTGGGCATCAGCAGTGTTGCGGGCGCCAGCATTTACCATACTGAGCGAACATGGTAAAACCCCCTACGTACCTCTGGGCATCAACAGTATGACAGGCACCGATGTCTGCCATACTAGAAGAAGACGACGCAACCTTCCACATGCATCTGACATTAGCAGTGTTATGGGCGCCTACAATCATCTTGTACCCTATGGCGTGGGCAGCAAGACTTAGCATACATACTCTCTCTCTCTCTCTCTCTTGTAAGGGCATCCCCTTCATCTATAAAAGGGGATGCGCTCTCTCCCAACAGATAGATCCCTCAGTTCACTTACATCAATTCATCCCTTGTAGCCTTAGACACTCTAAAG